ATATATATATATATATAAAATTTCCCCCCCCCAGAAAGGATCTTAGCAGAACAAACCACTTTTTGCTTCGTGTCAACCTTCTGGTTTGCTCAGATGCCCAACATCTGGCTGGGCAGGTGGAAATTTCAGAGAGGAAAGGGGGGAAAAAACGACCCTAAGTTAAAGTCTGGTTGTGCATTTAACTGTTTCGCCATCTCTGGACCACTGGCGCTGGTCCTTACCCAGCGTGCTCTGGAGAGGGAGGGAGGAGTAAAGGAGGAAGATGGGCCCACGCAGAGTGGGGAGGAGGATGGTAAAAGGGTGAGTTACAAAGTCCCCTGAGGACTACAAAGTCCCCCCAAGGCAGGTGTCTTAGATGTTACCCCAACCACAACCCAGGAAATGCCTTCTGCTTCTGGCAACCTGACCAAGATCACTTCGCGCTAATATTTTGAACCCAGCAAAAGTGGACGCATCTATCCAATTAACCTTCCGTTTTTGGCACCCAAGACTTTGCTGTCACAAAGCACGGACTCCGCTCCAGCGCACTTTGTGTCCTCCACTTATTGACCCTGCCTATACAGTCCACAGGTTCAGGTGGAGACACCCGAGGGGAAGTCTTGCTGGGCTTCTCAAACTTGAGCGTGTAACATGTTTACTGGAAGGCTCCTTAACAACAGTTGGTTAAACTCCATTCCCAGAGTTCCTTGCTGCCTAGCTCTGGGATAAAGCTCCAAACTTTGCATTTTTAACAAGTTCTTAAGTGATGCTGATGTTGCCAGTATGGACCGGACCAATTTGAGGACCAATGCTTAGCTAAAAGAAGGTGCCACGGCTTGGGATCCCCCTTTCTTTCCATTTCTCCCCATTCTATTCGCATTTATGCAATTTTCTCTTCTCCGTGGCAATCCCTGGCTTTTGGACCGCTTTACCCGTTCCACTGATTCTGAACGTGTATGATGGTGGTGGTGGCATTGGTGGAAAGGGGGTTGCCCCTGCCCTAGTCTTGCGCAGCTTCGTCTTCACAGCCTTCACTGATTTCCCACACAAATGCCACCTGTCCCACTGTCTCGCTTGGTGGGGATTATCCACACTCTTCCTTTACTCCTTGCGTCAAATGAAATCCCTTTCTGCAACTTTGCCGCGGCAATAAGGCCTGTTGCTCGCCTCTGGCGCTCAGCAGCCTTCGGGGAAACTCCCCTGTGAGGACCGTTGCTCTTTAGTATGCCAGACCCAGCCTGGGGCAGAGGGACTTTCCGGGTGCTAGCTCTGCCCTGGGACTCAATCTGGCTCCAGTTCGGGGCTGTGGGGTAGACCAGGTGCAGAAAGCTCCTCTGTCTAGGCTTCAGGCGCTGAAGCCCGGAGGGGGGCGGTAGCAGCGTCAGGTGGCTGCTCTGCGTCCCCGTGCACCGCCCAGTCAGATCCTACTCCGCGCTCAGCCTAGGGCGTCCATCGGTACCTCTGCCGCTGGAGCCACGTTCGTGGGAGCTGCGGTGGCTTAGGATACCGGCCGGAGAATGAGATGTGACCCCTCCAAGTTCTCATTGCCCTCCCTGGCGCTCTCTTCTTCCATTCTAAAGCGTTTATTGGACAGCGGGCGCTAGCCTCGATCTTCTGGAAGAGAGGAGCGACGACTAGGCGCACAGCCCAACAGAAGTTGGGCAGCGCAAGGCAGCTGTTATCCAGCTGCCCGAGCTGGGTGGGCTAGGAGACCCGGAGAGGCAGGCGCAGTAAGGGTTCTCTATCTGGGCTAAGAAGGGGCTTGAATTTGTTCTTTCTCTCCCCTGGCCCCGGGGCGCGGGGCAGTGGGAGAAATGCTGAGCCCGCGCCCCGGCGACCGCCGCCGCGGCAGCAGCCTCAGCAGCAGCCTCAGCATCAGCACCGGCGGGACAGCGACAGCGGGGGCGGCGCAGGCGCACTGTGCCCGGCGGAGCCTGCAGTTCCCGAGCCCCGTGTGCGGCACCGCCACAGTCTGGGCAGCGGCGGCCGGGGGAGCGCTACTACCATGAACTGCCTGGTCCTCCTCCCCAGAGCTGCTCATCCGGGTCGGGCTGGAGACACAGTCAGGGGACCCCGCCGCCGCCGCCGCGCCCCCTCTTCTTTCGGCTCGATCTCCTCCACCTTTTCCTCCTCTTCCTCCACCTTCTCTTCCTGCTTCCCCCCCTCCCCCGCCGCGGATCCTGGCCGCCGCTCTCCAGACCCAGGATGCCGGGGGGCAAGAGAGGGCTGGTGGCACCGCAGAACACATTTTTGGAGAACATCGTCAGGCGCTCCAGTGGTAAGGAGAGTTGCAGTTCACAACACCCCCACTTCCATCCCACCCACGCGCGCCCCCCGTCCCATCCCTCTCTTAAGGGGGGAGGGGGATGCAGGGAGTCTTTCCTGGTGGTTTCAGTTACTAGTCGGACCTGATTTTGGTGGGCGCGGGGTGGGAGTGAGGTGACAGAAGAAAGTTAGTTGATCTCCTTCCTGGGAGCCTTACTCCCCCGCCTCCCACCTGTCCAGAGCCCCGAGCAAGGGAAGGGGGTGGGGTGGGTAGAGTATAGGTACATCCGGAGAATAGAAGTGAAATTTCGCTTTAATGAAGGTTGTCTTTCTGTTTATCCTCTTCTCATATTTATTCCCAAGTAGCCTGCAGAAACTGACCACATTTATAAGAGTTAATCTCTGAGGAAGGATTTCCTTTGAATTGGGAATGGCTGCGAAAGTGGCTACTTAATCAGATTTAAGTCTCTGGAAGGGCTTTTGGTCACAATTGGCACAGCTGAAAGATATCCTGTGTTAGGGAGAGTAGTTGCAGTTTAACCTAAAAAAAAAGAGTGCTTGAAAAATGGGAAGGAATTACTAGGGTCAAATTTGTGTTTAAAGTTTCTTTCTTTCTTTCTTTCTTTTTTTTTTTTTTGATTCTTTTCATTGTGCATTGATCTATATGATATATTTCATTTGGCTTAAGCAGAGAAATGTAGACGTGAAGCAGTAGCTCCTGTGCTTTAAATGCAGTTGGAGAAGAGATTTTAAAAAATGCCATCCTACCTGGCTACTGATATGAAGGTTTTGTCTTAAAGTGTCTTTAAAATATCACTTAGGCATGTACTTCCTACAAGATAGTCTGGATAGGAATAGCTGTATAGTTCACATTTGAGACCCTATTATAAACTTTGCATTTTTACTAAAATCTGTATCTTCTACTTGTTTTTGATTCCTTTATATAATTTTTAATTCCTTTATATAATTTATAAGCAACATATATGGAGTATTCTGTAAAGCTTTTCCTTCAGAGGCCTGTTATTTTATTTGAAGACCCCTTGCTAGGAGAAATAGGAGAAAGACAGTTCTGCATATGGACTACAGTAGACCTTGGAACAAAGCAGTGGAAATACTCTCTGCAGTTCTGTAATTCCTTGTTTATTCATTCACTCACTGAAACAATGTGGATTGGGTGCCTTATACAATCAACATTCTTTGAGTCCTTTGGAAAAAAAAAAGTGATTGAGACACTTCTCCTGTTTTCAAGAAGCTCTTGCCTAGTGGGCAAGTCAGAGGCACACTTAAATGATAATGAATAATCAAATGCCATGATGTTTTTTCTGACTTTGGAGATTATACTGATTCTTAGATTAGGATCTCCTCTAATACTAGGCTTGCAAATATTTCCTCTGATTTGGGGACTATCTGTCTCATAAGGTTTCCCTTAAATCTCTGACTGGTATTTAATCTGAGGTTTGTGACTTTATTTCTTCCACTTTGGTTAATGCTCAGTGTTATAGAAGTCTAGAGAGGCTGTCTTAAAATTGGGTTGAAAAAATGAACTAATATAACCTAGTCTTGTATACATTTTAATACCTATAATATTTTTAGCATTCCAGTGTGATTTCATATGAATTTTCAATTTTTACAGTGTAAAATGTAAATTCATACTGGCTTGTAATTTCTAAACTTGTACATTACTTACTTGTGCTAATACCATACATAGATTTAGAATATGAGGGGATGTTACTGTTAAAATAATCAGTCATTAGGGGGGATTTAAAGGTTATTGGAATCAGTTACTTAAGACGTATGAGTATTATTTCAGCTTTTTCATCCTCTTGGGTTATTTCAACTCCACATAATTTGGTCTGTAGAGGACTTTCCAGAGAAGGCCTTAGGAAACAAAACTCAGACTCTGTAACTCTGCTTGGTAGAGAGGATGAAGATGAAAATTCCTTGATTGAAGTTTACTAATATAATATCTTGGGTTGAAACTTCTTATACAGTCTGGTATTATGAGCCAGTTTTTATAAAGTTTTGCTTTTAAATATAGCATGAAATTAAGGTTTACCTTATATGGTCCAGAAATATCTGCTTCAGTTGCCTCCATTTTATGTCTACCAGCCAACTTGATGAATATTTTATCTTTTCTATGCTTCATGCTCATAATTGTTTTGTTGGTTTAATGTTTCTTTACATGGATAACACCAAGTGTGAGTGTAAATTTATCTGTTTTGGCATTTTAAAATCCCACCTCTAATTGCCTATGGTTAACTTTGAATAGCGCTACTTGAAACTCCTAGCTTCATTTGAAATGTGTTTGAAACTTGAATGTATGTGCACATCTATATTTAATAAGTGCTGAAAAGTCTCGGTACTTCTTTCACAGGAATTCTTCAGAAATAGAGAATAACAGTACTACTCCACACATTCATGTTGGAGTATCCCATAGTTGTCATTTCTATATGATATGACAGATAAATTGAAATATTTATTTTATGAGATTGTTTAATTGAGATTAACAGAACACTTCTTCAGGGTTCTGATAGATGGATCAGGTTTTGTTTTCCACAATGAAGATTTTGTTAGTCCATAACTTAACAACATTGAAGGTGACATTTTGGCAGAGCTTTGGTGACAAAGGAAAGTAAAAGAGCCAGTTCCCAATCTGTTTAAGAATTGAGCAGAGACTTGTACTGTATATTGACCTGTACCCCATGAAAAGCTTTTTTTATTTTTCCTGGTACAATGTCCTTTTCTTCTTATGAAAAGATCAGATCTTGTAGTGAGAATCAGATAAACATAGAAAAAATAACACACACACACACGACATAGAAACATATAGATAAACAGGCATCCACCCAGACACAGAGACAAGACACACAGGAAGCAAACTAACTCGTGCTTTTTCACATACACAAAGGGAAAAAAAGATGTAGGAAAAAACAGAAACGTGTGTGTGTGCACACACACACACACACAGAGAGAGAGAGAGAGAGAGAGAGAGAGAGAGAGAGATGTTAGACATGAAAGGGAAAGGGGCACAAAGGGAAAACATCAGGCATTTATTTTTGCCCATGGGTAGCTAATGAACAGAAATCTCAGTCAGTTAGAAATCCATCAGAGAACTTTTTGATGATGCAGAACAAATGAGCCAAAAGTATGGCATATTTGAGTATAGCTTTTAAACCTTAGAATTTCCCAATAAAGTTTCAAACTCCTCAGCTGCAATTTCCCAGGACAACTGTAGTATTGCCTTCCCTCAAGTAGCAACTATTACATATTTGCTGTTATTTTACACCTCTTGAGATTGGATTTTTATTTTCTTTATTTAGTGGACTCTGTTACAGAAAAGGATTGCAAGTTGTTACTGTTGATTCGAAGTCTATAAAATAAAATAATGAGAGCCACTGAGTAGGATGGATATCCACACACACATGCTTTGTAGCCAAATCTCAAAATAAGACTAGTAAGGAATTCCTCTCTTTAGTTTTAAGATTAAAGACAAGTTAAGATAATTTGTAGACAAATAAAAGAAATTATAATAATTCTTTACATGTGATTCTAGTAAATTAGAGCACATTCTTACTTCAGAAGTTGGAAAGGGGAGAAGTATAAGGGGCAATAGAAATGTTTAGATAAAAATTTTTTTAATATATTTTTATTTTTGATTGACATAGTAATTACACATTTATGGGGTATAGTGTAACATTTCAATATATGTATACAATGTATAATGATCAGATCAGGGTAATTGGTATATCTGTCACCTCAGGCATTTATCATTTCTTTATATTGGGAACATTAAATTCCTCTGTACTACTTATTTTGAAATATTAAATTAATGTTATCAACCATAGTTAAGTTTAGATAAATTTTTGGTTAGTGGGATCAATATAAGTTGTTAGGAAGGAAGGGCTTGAGGACAATGTGTGAGTTCATTACATCTGAGCAGTGCCTCCTACAAGGCCCCTGCCTCAAGTATGTACTTACTAGATCTATGGAACATAATTAGGATTTCTTCCCTTATGTAAATTTTAATTGTTTATGCAAGCTATTCATCAATATAAATTGGGCTGTAGGGAGCAGTAAACTTGTGGTTAAAAGTTAAATAACTGAAAGAAAGGAATTGTTTTTAGGACTTTAGGTAGACCTTTTGATCAAGAAGGCAAAAAAAAAAAAAATTGTAGCCCTCAGTCTGATTATGTCATATGTTGTCTTTGATTCCTTAATGAAGAGGCAGAAGTGATTCGCTTGGGTGACAGAAAACTAGGTTTCCATTCTGAAAAATTCTAACTATAAATTAACATCTTTTTATTAGAAATCAATGACTGTTTCTCAATATTTTTAAGTACTGTGAAAAATTAGATGTTTTTCTAGTTTTATGAAAATTAGAAGTAATTTTCTTGTTGGAGGAAAAAAGGACTCAGGAAAGAAAAAACAAAAAACAGAGAAGATAGTGTTTTCTGAACCTCTCATCTTTCAAAAGGAGAAGCTCAATCTCCACAATTTTCCATTGTTCTAGAGGTAGCTGGGTTGCTCGGCCAGTTTTTTACAGTCATCTTTTACTTGTAGAAAAATTGTTTTTGTGCTATAATTGATATTTGTAAAAACCGAGATCTTAAACCTATAAGAGAGGAAACAGAATTAGTGATTTAAAAACAAAACAAAAGGATAATAACTTTTAAGAATCATCCACTTTAAAATAAATGGTGGAAAGCAAATGGATTTTTTGTTATAAGGTTCTTGATTTTTTTCTTGAAAGGCTTTCTGTAACATCTAAGACACTATTCAGGAAATATTGATAAAACCACATAGTGTTTTTGAAGCATTGGTTTACCCAGGTCTTATAATATACCACTTTAACATTTAAAATAGCAAAGAGGTTGAAATTATACTGACCACTTCCTAAATTATACTGGTAAGTAAGCCAGAGGGTAGTGGCCGGCTTTCCAGCCCACATTGAATTATGTAATGAATGAAGAGCATTGCTGACTACATGGTTGCTAACCCCTGGACACTGTTGTC